TCTCATTAATGCCATGGGTAATGGGTTTCATTTCAGAACTGCGGTTTCAATTCTCAATATTTTTTTAATTCAGTATAGATCGAACGAAAAGTGATTTATTTTGGGGCAGCCATACAGCGTTTTACAACCAGCATTCGTGCGTTCAATGGTCCTCCATTTCTTCACCAAAATGAATTTGGGTATAAATAGGTACGCTGGAATATACGGGGCACTAATACTATTAATGCTGCATCGAAATGTATGTTTGTAAGACGATGAACTACTTTTCTTGTGGCATCTTACCTACAAATGACTATCTGTGACAGTTGCTAACCTAGGCAGAAATGCACCATGGGGCTCAAATGCAATTTCTATCGAGACTGTCCAATTACTTGCTAGGAGTACATTATTAAAGAATGTTAGTTCACTTTAAGATTTGAAGAATTCGGTTAATAATATGTAATAAGAAGTTTAACAATAGGATTTAATTGAAGTTTAAGTTGTACATTACTTAGATAAATAAATACAAATAATGAGATTATGATATTTTGTGCTTCTGCATGAGATGGAAGAAATTTTAGGCGATTTTCACGAGGTCCTCACAACTCTTCGTACTGCTGTGGAAGAATGCACCAACACCTTCAGGTACAGTGTCTGACTTTCCATCTTGAGGGAAGTAACAGACATGAATTTTTAGTCAGCTATGTATTTTAGTTATTGCATGACGATATCTAAGTGCTGTGTTGACCCAGCCCGCGTCCATACTACTTGTGTTGAAGTATTCCACTGTTGTGAAAACTGTTTGTAGCACCACCTGGTTTTCTTTTTTCTGACAACAAAGCTATTTTAGCCGTTGTATTAATGAGAAGCTATTTATAGTGAGGCGTTTTAAAATTGAACTTTCGTGTTATGTCTCGGTCATTAAGTTATTATTTATATGTAATCGTGCGGTTGATTTTAGAGACAAATCTCTGACGTCTGAACTGAAAACGGTCTTTTTTTTTATTAACTGCTGAGAATTAACACGATATGAGAAATAAGAATTGTGTAATACAATTTAAACAAATACGGTAAAAGAATTTTACATTTGTCACAAGCGGTTAGATTACAATGGTAATCTCGCACTTGTAAAGATAAATTATTGTTTAAATCACATATGCGATTACAGAAAGTGACTACTATACGACATCTCCAGTTATTTGTTTATAAACTTAATTAGTATTTTTCTTTGCCAAGCCTCTCTTTTTGTTCATAGGTAATAATAACGCGTTATTATCGAATATCTGAAGAATCTGATTGACATGTTAGAATATCTTGTGTAGACACTATTGCCTGTGTTTAGGTTTACCATTTTTTATGTAGACATTATTTATTGCCTGTGTATAGGTTTACCATTTTTATGTAGACACTATTTATTGCTTGTGTATAGGTTTACCATTTTTATGTAGACACTATTGCCTGTGTATAGGTTACTTTTTTTATATCGACACAATTTCCTGTGTATAGGTTTACTTTTTTATATAGACACTATTTCCTGTGTATAGGTTTACCATTTTTATGTAGACATTATTTATTGCC